ATAGCCAACAAGATGACATGTCGAACCTTTGGGATACCAAAGACCTACGTTCAACGTGCCCGCGAGATATCGCATTATCCTTTTGATCGCAACCAAGTGCGACTCTTTAGGACAAGATTGATACCTAGCGCATATACAAACGGAATACATGATATCCGGTCTACTCGCGGTAAGATAAAGTAAAGAGCCGATCATACCTCGGTAGCGTTTGATGTCAACCTCTTTACCTTTTTCATCCTTGTCGAGATAGCAAGAGGTGCTCATCGGTGTGTTAATAGATTTGGATTCGGTAACATCGAATCTCTTAAGCAACTCCCTGCAATATTTCATTTGACACACGAATGTCCCTGCTTTGCATTGTCTAATTTGTAGCCCAAGGAAGAACTTTAATTCTCCCATCATCGACATCTCAAATTCACTTTGCATCATATCGGAAAAATCTCTGCACAAAACTTCGTTAGTAGCACCGAATATGATATCATCTACGTAAACTTGAACCAAAAGGATGTCTTGGTTATCTTTCTTGATAAAAAGAGTAGTGTTGACTTGACCCCGTTTGAACTCATGGTCCAAAAGAAATTTGCTTAACCGTTCATACCAAGCACGAGGTGCTTGTTTGAGACCGTAAAGCGCCTTTTTGAGTTTGAAGACATGTTCGGGAAACTCATAGTCTTCGAAACCCGGGGGTTGTTAGACATACACTTCCTCTTGAATGATACCATTAAGGAAGGCACTTTTAACATCCATTTCATAAAGTTTAAAGTCCATTGTAGATGCAAATGCAAGCAATAAACGAATAGCTTCTAAACGTGCAACCGGTGCATAAGTTTCTTCATAATCAATGCCTTCTTCTTGATTGTAGCCTTTAGCTACAAGCCTAGCTTTGTTTCTAGTGATTACTCCATTTTCATCGAGTTTGTTACGAAACACCCATTTTGTGCCAATAACGGAATGATCATTAGGTCTAGGCACCAATTCCCAAACATCATTGTGTTTAAATTGGTTAAGCTCCTCTTGCATTGCCATAGACCAATGTTCATCATTAATAGCATCCAAAACGGTTGTTGGTTCAATTTG